CATAAATGAAAATCGTTATAAAATTATTATTTTCCACCATATTTGGCATCTATTTAGCGTGTCATTATAACAGGTACAATTTTAAAAGCGACAATATTTCCCGGTTTACCAGTATCAGTAAATTTTTGTTACATCCCTAGGACTGTTGTGTTTACACATCAGTATTTGTATATTTTTGATTCTAATATATACAAAATATAAATAGAGTTTCGACTTATTGCTGAAAGGATATACCACTTTTAATCAAATTCCACATCCGGTTGTTTTTCCGACACGTAATTATCGCACAAATCGGCGGTTTTGAAATAAATTGTACACAGAAAGCTGTGACACAAAAATCGGGAAACGACTGTGACGTCAAAGGAGATGGGTTGAATATTTTGTCATTTATAAGTTTGAATTGACATGTTATATGTCAATTCAAACGTATAAGTGACATAGTTGCAAAACTACGCAGGTACAAAATTGGTGCTGTAATGTCGAATGATTTGACTTCATGAGTTCATTCATTCATTCATTACAGCCCTTCACAAGTCCACTGCTAAACATCCTACCCAACGAATGCCACAAACCACGGTCCAAAGCCGCCTGCATCCATCGTGATCGTGCATCTCTTACCAGGTTGTCAATTCATTTGGTAGTCACTCTATGTCATGTCGCGAGTAACAAGAAGCCAGAAACTACCCATGTTTTACAACATATTCGGTAGACGAGACAAAATCTAACCGTGAATCAGCAGATACACTGATAATTTAGAATGCGTGGATTCAAGAAAAAGGAAAAAGAAATTACTGTAAAGTATGTCTATCTGTCCAGTTAATTCTTTTCATAGAGTAATGACGGGAGTGATAATATTTTATCCGAAAAACGTAACTGTTTTTCATAAATTTGTAAAACTAGTTAAATAAATGTCATTTTATGATTATCTTATAACTTATAAACTACGACTTTGTTAAGATATAATAAACATTTTTGAACAAAACGTCTTTGGTTTGCAATTTTACACAAAAAAAGGTCTTTATCTTTTAACACAAAATATCAAACGCAAAACGATTTGTAACATTTTTTTTTATTTAACATATTTTTTTTAAATTAAATTAATAGATTATAGTTTTAAAACAATAGAAAAAAAAACTTAGTTTAAAATAGTTTTTCGACAATTGAACCAGCTGGCGTTTTTCGATAAAATGCGATTAGTTAATTTATGAAGCTTCTCCTTTACACGATATTTTTCGCCTGTTCCGTAGCTACTCCAAAACGAATCGGCAGCTTTACTCACTCGCTATATAATGATAAATTTTCAAAGCAAAGCAGACGTAGATAGAACATTACACGATTGTTCACTGGCACCACACCTCATTAGGACATAAGTAAGGTTCGCTGCAGAGACGTCTCTTTTGATCGAGTACCCTTGCATAAATTTGATGTATTCAGGTTTTTCAATAGTTTATAAGCACACCGACTTTAAAGATAAATAAGTTAACGTAATGTTGATTAACGTGATGAATAGTTTTTTTTTTAGTTTTTTAAAAACGTTACCACTAGGATTTTCTCCTGTATCGTGGGGGTAGTTTACAAACACAAATTTCTAGAGAAGGAAAAACATCCAGACCCGGAACAATTACTTGTAGGCCATACAAATACTTGTTCCGTGCGGGATTCGAACCCGTGGCTCTTAGCGCTGTAACTCATAGCTAAGGTACTGCGCCACGGAGCCATCAAATAAGTGCATCTTCAAATAAGTTTGTGTGAAGAGAAAGACAAAAAATGTTTTTTATATCGTTTCATATAACTCAATTAAAATTTTCAAAAAACGTTCAATGTACAGATTTTGGCCCAGGAATAGATTTATTATTATAACGACTAGCGACGCGACCCGGCTTCGCCTGTATAGGATCTATTAATGTCGCGTTATTTCCGTTTAAGAGAGATAAATAAACCATATATTTAAACGATTTTTTTAATTTCAAAAAAATCTTTTTTTTTTGTAATGTTTCATCACAATCAGTTCAGCCATTCCGAACATTAGCGAAGACAGATAGACAGACAATTTTTTTAACTGGTTATTCATATTTTAATAGTATACAAATAAACTCCTGAGCTCAAAAGAAGTCAGTCATTTCAATATTACAGACAGATACTTCAGTTTTATTTATATGTATAGTAATAATAATGTCCTCCAGACCGAATTTCGGTCACGGCGGCCTGCCTCAACGGAGGCTAGCCATCGGCGCAGGATAGGATTATAGTGCCGAAGTGTATGCGCAAGCACAGGTGCACTCTCTATTCCCTTATTATATTTCTCTATTCCCTTATTATTACTCTCATAATCCGACGGGACGGTAAACCGACACGACCGGAGAGAGATCAGGCGCAGGATCAAGTGCTTTACGTGCTTTCCGAGGCACGGGGGTGAGGCACCGTATAGATAGAATTAAAGGCAGACATTGTATTATAATAAAATTATAAAATCCTAAAGGGCAGTAGAAGATATTTAAAACATTACATCACATTGAGGTTAATAAAAAAACTTAAACATATGGGCAGAGTGCTGCTGCAGCAAGGATAATAACCTCTCGATGGAATTCTTTAACTGTTAATGGCATTATCTTGAAATGCATCTTGTGATTGCATCGCGTGAAACATAACCATAATAATGAACTGTTACTACAGTCACGTTACACCATGAACTGAACAGTTATACATTAAAATTTGGTAAGACGTTGAGAATAATCACGTTTAGACTGGACGGAAAAAATTTGGCTATAGCCATTTACTAGTACTGTCTTGAAATTTGTTATTAATATTGAGATTGGATAGGTAACGCAACTGTTGCGATAACCTGATGTTCCAGTCAGCACCATATCTGTATAATTGTACAATTATTGCGTAGAATAGTTAGGTATTTTGTAGTATAATTATTTATGATTCAAAACGTTCATCATCAAACTAAGCAAGCACGCACGTTAGGACTAGATAAAAGTAAAGTTAAAGCCTATATACTTTCCACCGCTGGGCACAGGCCTTCTTTTATTTCTGAGAGGGTTTTAAGCCAAAGAAATGTCAGCCGCGGTACCCCATGTCTTCAAATCATTCACATGTCTTCGAATATTTTTTTTCTTGTTTCTCAGACATGCAGGTTTGTGTACGATGTTTTCTTTCAACGTCGAGCAAGTAGTACAGCACTTAAAATTGCATATAAGAATTAAAATTAAAAATTTCTTTCAATGTTACTGGTAATGTCTTGAACGAAAAACGTTACTATATTAATGAGCTGATTCGATAGATATGATTTCCTTAGTGATTAATAGTCGTAAAGTTCAATATATACACATTGAGATAGGTCAGGCTTTGTGCTACAGTTAATTGTCTCTTCTTGAGGTGTCTCCTTAATTTTAACTGTTATCGTCATAAAAACTATTTTATTTATTTTATAGAAAAAGGGTGACAATTAAGCACACTGTGCACCCGACGGTAAGTGGATGCTGTGGCCCGTAGACACTCACATCACACATAAGGGCTAAGATATTCCATCTTCGCCTCGTTTCCAGTAAAAAGGGTCTCCGGTTCTCTACACTTACCATACGAAATACAGCAGCATTAAGCTAATTGATAAAAACGATGTAAATTATGATTAAAATGAAAAAGTTGTAAATAACAATTTTCATGAAAGTAAAAAAAATAGCTACTTACAGTGAAAGTATAATTTCTAACCCCCATACATAAATACATGCACCATATTTATAATTATCGTTTTTATAAAATTTTAGAATAAAATTGTTTAAAATATGTATGTGCAGGTTTTTATGCATGCTAAGTACCTTATGAAGATTTATAATCAAACAGGTTATAACTTAAAAATATTGCCCTCAAGGGTGACAACGCATTTCTATTTTGATGATTGTCTATTTTGATTCTTAATTGAGGATAAATGTAGATGTCTATGGGCCACAGCTTGCACTCATCATCAGATGAACTGTGTGCTCGACTGTCGCCCTATTCTATAAAAAAACTTCTATATATCAAGAATAAAATATAAGGCTTATATTATTGCATTGTCATCGAAGTTACAAAAGTATGCTAAATTTCAGCTCAAATCGAAAGTAAGGAAGTGCTTTAAAAAATTGATTACAAATTTTGAACCGGAAAGACAGACGAAAAATCATGTTAATAAAGAGCTTGTAAAAATTTCGAGAAATAAATAATATTAAAAATTCTTGCGATTAAGCCCACCCATATGTTTTACATATGTATTAACACGAAAGTAACGGATCGATCGAAGAGGAACGACGTTAGAAGCGATAGAATACGCTGGTATTTTAAATAAACGTGGTAAAATAGCAAAATGATGGTCCTGTAATTTGTACAGTGAGTGACGTAAGGCCAAAGACCCCTTTAACTGACGAACAAGACATGCTTGTTAAGTTTTTGGGGATATCAAAGCATCTGCCATTTATTTTTGAGTCGAGGGTAGTATTTGAGTCTTTGGGCCACAGTATCCACTTACCATCAGATGGACTGTGTGGTCGTTTGTTACCTTTACTCATATAAATCAATCTAAAGGCAGAACACAAGACTTTTCTTTTTACGCTAATATTTGTAAGGTTTGAGATTCGTAACCAGAATTCACGACTTTGTAGACAATAACACAAACGCGTCAAATACGCGTTCTGCTTTCAATTTGAGAAATATCTACACAATGAAGATGTTTATCAGTGTTACCAATAATAGTATATAATTTTCGGAAGTTTTATTTTGATGTACCAAATAGGATTTTCATTATTTTGAATGTAAATACTATTATAAAATGTTTGGGGTTCTTAGTTAATGGGGTGATATTCGTTCCAAGAAACCTGCAAAGCATGTAGAGATAACAGAACGTAGTTCATTTGAGAAACGTTTTCTACAAAGTGTTTGGTTAGGTTGTTAATAATTAAAACAAGCGCGGATCATCTGATGAGCTAAGTAAACTTTTTTCGCGTGTGTATGAGGGGTTGTGCTTAGAGTGTAGAACGGCCGGTGAGATTGCAGGCATCGTAGACAGTGCGGCGCGGAGCGGGGCGAGGTGGGGAGGCGAGGGAAAGGGAGGGCGCGGCAGGGCCGGCGGCGCGCGGGGGAGGTAGTGCGCGGGGGCGGTGCGGCGCGGCGGCGCGATGCTGCGCGCCTCTCAGTCGAGACGCGAGGTCCGCCCGCCCTAGCCGCTCGAAGTGCCGCCCGCCCGCCCCGCGCATTGTAACACGTTTCATCTCTAGTCTTGGCTCAACGAAAGATCGTTAATTATTGCTTCTTTGGCTAGATTGCATACTTTGCAAATTTTGGCCGTCGTCAAAGCCTCAGTAGCGTCTATATCCTTCCGCGTTCCGTTTAGCTCGCGCGTGTAGACATCGGATATTTTCGAAGCTTTCTGATGGACCGGATGGGGGTAGGGGGGAGGGTCGACAGATTCGGAGTTGGAGGGTAGCGGGGTGCCCGACCCCTCACAGCGCGGGGTTAGTAGGTTCGCGATGTCGTTTCGTCGCTGGTCGGAATGCATTCGCGGACGTAAAGTAGCGTCCTGAGGTGTCGTCGCGTCTAACACCTGAGGTCGGTCACCTCGTTCATGAACGAGAAGCTCGTTAAATTCGCCTAAGATATTTTCTAGCTTTAAAAAATAGTGAAAGATAGAAACTTTAAAACGTAATTTTATTTTTGGGTCAAACAATATTTTTCGATGCAAGGTCAATCTACTTAGTGTCAACGAACCCCTCGTCTGGGGCTCACGCTAGGTCGATGACGTCGAGGTCATCGGGTTAGGGTTTTCGCATTATCTCGATTGACAAGATCGATACGAACAAATCCGAAGCTGAGTCGTCTCAGACCGCAGTTGTGCGAGTGATTTTCTTTCCGTTTCGAGAAGCGATGATCGGCCCGTAAGATTTCTGAGTGACTACGTGAAGTATGAAGACGGAAGTGTGAAACGACCGACAGCTCGAGATCGAGGAGGCCACAGCGTTAACCCTGCCCGAATTAGTGCAGCGGACGGGACGAAAATAGCGAGGCGGCGTGTACGGTTACACGCGGCGCGTCAATGCCGGCGCCGGCACGCGCGCCGCGCGCCGCGCCTCGCGCCGGTAAGCTTACACTGCGTCTGCTTGCAGGCCGGCGCGACCAGCCCTATATGTGGCGGCGCGGGCGTCCTCGTGCGCCCTCTTCGCGCCCTCCTCCGCCTCGCACCTTGCACCGCGCACTCTCACCGCCGTCTATTCCTGGATCCATCTGCTCCTCTGTATACTACGCTAAATTTTATGTTTCTAAATATAACACAATCTAATTCACCCACGTATTTTCTAATGAGTTTTTTTATCCACTCACTAAACAGGTTACGGTTATTGTTATATTTGAAGGCAACTTTTGTGGCATGGACTTAAGGAAGGTGAAAACTGAAAAAAGAAAATTCGACGACGAAAATAGAGAAGATCAACAGTTTGAAGATGATGTTACAAACTGAAAGTGTTAGCGTTGTTCGCTTTAGCTGGTTGACTTCGGGTCAAATCGTAATTATGTATCATTTGGTCCCCTTCAACCAGCTGTAGTTAACATCTGCTTCGCTTTCTTGCATTACTTTGAAGGCTCCTCGAATTTAGATTAAGAAATTGTTAAATTATAAAATAAAATAAATGAACTTTTTGTAAAAAAATTAAATTGTGAGTCTATACAAAAATAACCATTGCCATTTGTCAATTCAATAGTTATTTTTATAAACTAGTAAAATGAGAAAAATTTACTTTGATTTCTAATTATTTATTGCGATGTTAACACAACCTTTGTAGAAATTATATATCAAGCAAGTTAAACAAAATTACTTAATTAATTTGCAATAAAAACTATAATTTTTTTCCCAAATTATCAAATATTTTTTCGTCGAACTTTGTAAAGTAAGCTTAAGCCTTTGAATTATTGTATTAAATAAATACAATTAAAAGCTTATAACTTTTAGTAGTTTAAATAACAAGAGTATGAATTAGAATAAAATTGTTAAAGTCTACTTCTGTTTAAAATATCATTATTATTGAGCATGGCTCTACCGCGTCTATAGTAGTAGGAGTAATGTAGTTCTTTACTATCTAGTAGATAGAGGTACCACCTTCTTTGTTATTTTGCTGCTCAGCGGTGAGTCTCTGATGCTGTGCTTCAGTTTAAAGGGTAAGAAAATGGGAAAGAAAAGCCTTACGGGGTTCGCTGGGCTATAGCAACTTAGAATTAGACTATTAAGTTCGTTTTCACAGTATTATTATAAAAATATATTTAAAAAAATATTTACATTAAAATAAAAACTTATGGGAAGTACTAGGCTAAAATTGTTATTGTTATTTTTTACAACGGTAAACTTGATTCTTTAGATATTAAAAAATATCATAATGTATGCTTAAGTCATCGTCGTTCCATCTTCTTCTTTAAGTGTCTCTCCATTACTGAAGGTCGGCAGTCATCCTATTCTTCTTTGTTCAGGGCTAGCCTGAACAGATCTTCAACTTTCTTTATCCCAGTCCATTTCCGGATGTTACATAGCCACGACATTTTTCTTCTACCAACACCTCTTTTAACCGCTACTTTGCCCATCATAATAGTCTGTAGCAGTTGGTAACGCCTTAGCACGTGTCCTAGGTACGCAACTTTTCTCTGTTTGATGGTTTTGACAAGTAGGGGTTTATTCCTTTTCATCTGCTTGAGGACCTCAATGTTGGTAACTTTGTCTTTCCAAGTTATTCGGAGCATACGGCGATACATCCACTTTTCAAATGCTTCTAGTTTCTTACGGAGATCTTCTTTCATCGTCCAAGATTCGCATCCGTATAGTATGACAGGCCAAATATAGTCGTTCCAAGGAAATAAAAAAATCTAGGAATATTTCTTTTATAAAATTGGCTCAAAATAACGCTGTTAAGGAAAATGTCGCAGTTTTTAGGCCCATTTCTTTCGCAGTCTTGGTGAATGAGATTTTTACGAGATTTTCTTTCAAGGAGCTAATGTTAGCCCGTAGAATGCTATTTTAAATTTTAAAGTTTATTTCGGTTCTACTTTAACGTATTAGTTTTTGTTTAACTTATCTCAATAATACATTAAAATGAATTTATAAATAATTTAACACATTATTGTGCCTTTTACTATTTCGCTATTGACCGCACGCACAAATAATTTCTGAATTTAAAGGTTAGATTATGCTCGTAATTTCTCTGCCAGGTAAAATTCATAACGAGAACAAGAACAAGAGTAACTAACATAACCCAGCGCTTAATTAAGTTGAAGTGGCATTGGGTTAGTCATATAGCTCGAAAAACTGACACTGATTGGGAAGCAAGTCTTACGAGTGAAAGTCTCGTACGTTAGCCAGCATAGCCTTGGGCGACCCCCTACTATAAGTAGCAACGACCTATAGAAACACGGGTGCTGGTGGCTCGGGACCATACATTGTGGCAAGCTATGAGGGAGGCCTAAGGTCAGCGGTGAACATGTGGTGCTTTAGAGAGTGAGTGAATGTGGAATGTCAGATCAGCTTTGATGTTTAAATAAAATGTAACATCAAATGTTAAGAAATAAAATTTTAGTTAAAATCTAAAGTGGACAGTAACAGTTGGCTGTTACTATTAAGTATTTATTATTTTGTTTTGCAGCTTAGCAACTTAACAACTTAGCAATATAAAATGAAACTTCTCAATGTATTAGGATTAAGTTGACTTTATGAAAATAATGATACTCGTGATACTCATTTTTTCACGGGGAAACAAATCATTATTTCGTGCATTTTCTTATAATTGCTTTTGTTTTCCGTGTAGTGGCGGTGTAAGATTATCCACTACTCCATATTGTCCAGTGGGTATCAGATGCGATAGAAGGAAACAAATCAGGACATGGGCAGCAGCGACTTTCTAATAACAAAAAAAAAAAAACTGCGGTTGCAAACTTGCCAACCACGCGTGATAACTAAGGGAAATAGTCCCCTATGTATTTTGATAACGATTATATATCTACAATATAATCATATAATCGATACCATCCATACCATCTGGATGACTGGCGGTCCACCACTGTGCGACTTAAAAGAAGTTTCTTTTTCGCACAACTTCCTTGTGGAATCAACTACTACGAGAGATTTTTCCGGGCAGATACGACTTCAGTACGGCAGGCCGGCAACGAATCTGCAATTCCCCTAGTGTTGCAGTGGTTCATGGGCGGTGGTAATCACTTACCATCAGGTGAGCCGTATGCTCGTTTGCCCCTTCTCTTATTTAAAAAAATCTATGGGGAGGCCTATGATCAGCAGTAGACTTATGATAGTAACGATAACGGTTACGATAATAAAATAAAAATTCAAATGATCACATTTTACTAAAAACAGTTTATACAGTATTTGTAATAAATTTTTGAATTATTAGCAATCCAATAAATAAAAATAAATATTTGATTATTCGCCTTCCATGCGTTTCCATATCATTCATCCGATTACGATAAAACATTGGAGAGTTAATGTACTAACTAATGTACTAAAAGAGGCATTGCGAAGGCATGCCTTGTATTCAATAAATATTCACCCAGTTGTTTTAAAACGTGTGTCACACGAAACGTGTGTGAACGAAAGCGAAGACAGAAACTCTAAACTTCTTGAAACGATGACATTAAGTGTTGGGTGACAGCAACAAAACATGTTTTTTCGACTACTTACGGCGGATGTCACGGGTAAAACTTAATATATAATGAAAGTGGCCATGGGCTATGATTTTTCGAAATGATGTCGTTTTTCGACCTCCACGCACGCAAAGCCGCGGCAAAAGTTAGTATAACATATAAATGTTTGCGGCTCAACCGCACCTTTATTAATCTACTAGCAACCGACAACACACAGCTTTAGCCATGAATAAACCGAATATATCTAAGTTTAACTAAGTAGTGTATAGTTTTAGTTATTGTTAATTAATATAATAAACGATTCAAATGACGTTTGCTTCCCTTTTTTCTTTAATTTTCATTTGCCTCAACATTTTAGCCGATAGATTCCGCTTAAAATTAAGTTAGGACAGCTTAGCGTGAAAAAAGATAACACTAGCCTACGCCTAAAGCTAAGCCTAAGTTTAGCCGTAACAGACAAAAGATTCGTTGAAATAGAGACAGAAATAAGTTGTCACAATACTAACGTAAATAATAAACTAAAATAAAGCGATTCCTTGAGTTAGGTATATTTTGATTTATGTAGCAA